CTTTTTCTAGGTTATGGCTGCTTAAAAGAACTGCAAATAGTTTCTCAGGATAACTTGTATCATTCGCTTATCATTGGGAAGTTCTTTTGATTCAAATTTTATCCGAGGTAATGTTGTGGCTATCAAAATGATGCTAATGTCTTGCAAAGATTTCCACAATTTCGGATAGGGAGCTACCTTTGTAGGTGTCAATTTGAGCGAATAGGAAATTGTATTTCAGAATGTTTGAAAATCGTAATCTATGTAAGCTCTTGGTTCTTTATGTTTCGTATAGGAGTGTGGATGTTGTGGTATTCAGGTGCCAGACTTTGTTCATGTTGCATGTTACATCAGTTTCAGTTTGTTTGATGAATATATTTTTTCAACTGCGCTTGTGGGAGTTGGATGGTTCGTGTATGCTTTCTTTCTTTTTTTGCATTTTTTTTGAGTTTGTGTGTGTGCCATCTTGTGGTACTACTGGTAGAATAGAATGAAAAGAAAATCTAATTTAGTATGTTTGAGATTAAGGAATTTTAGGTGAGGAATTGAAAATTTGTTTGAAAATTTTATTGTGTTTGGAATGTAAATAGAAGTATAGTTTCATATAAAATTATATACATGGGAGGCTGCGGGGATTGATTTACCAGCCAAAGCCTCCTATTGCTGTAAAACTCTGAAAAAGTTAATTGTTTATGTTTCTATATTTTAAACCTGTTCGTGTTCCAAGTGTCTAGTCCTAAAAGGTTTACTGTGTTATTTTTACAGGTCAACAAACTCATTGAGCACCCTAAATATTGTACTTTTGCCCCTAGTTCATTGTTCAATTCTGATTGAAAAAGTGGATCGAATCGGTACATACTCTTAACTTTAGAGATTAGGATTCAAGGAGAGCCGATTGATTAAATTGAAAAAAATAAACGAAATAAAATATAAATTTCATATATACGTACATTATTTGTAATTTTTTAAAATTTTTAGAATATAAATATATTATTTTTCAAAATAGGAAATAGTCTATTTTGATCTAAAATTTTCAAAAACAGATTGAATGGAGAACAATTCTACTTTCATATTTTATTTTTGGATTTAGTTTTGTTCAAACTGGTGCGGTCCAATATGATTTCAGATAATTGAAAATTTGAACCTGTGAAATTTATTTGAGATATGTAATCAATATATTTATGCATCTTATATTATAACAATGTAAGTGTCAATGCATGATGTCAACAATTTAATAGTTAAAAATTTTATATTTTATTTGAATATTATAAGTTTAAATTTTATTTAAAATTAAAAATTTAATTTATTAATATATTTTTAATATTATAATAATCAATTTGAGTAAATTACTATTAAGTCTATTATATTTTTTTAAATAAAAAATTAATATTTCATGATAGCTAAAGTTTATTTAATTAAGATAATTTTATGGGACTAAAATATTAACCTATATTTTTATTCGTAAAAAGCTATTTGATTTTAAAAATAAAATTTTAAGGTAAATATTTTAATTTTTAACTTGTCAAGGGCATGCGAGTTGATCACCATTTTGTCCTCAAAAACTAGGTTATAGTAGATGCCGTAAGAGACGACGCCGTTCCTTATTGGTCAGGCTCTGCGACCAGGAAGAAACAAGAAAATGAAATTTACTGAAAATTAAAAAAAAAGGGAGGGGGCCAAAATTACAGACAAAAGGCGATATCCTTAGAAGAAAATGATTGCCAGACTCCATCCTCATCTGTATTCATCTTTCTCTCTCACTTAGGGCAACAGAAATTATCTCATTTTGTCGATTACTCTCCCGAATGTGACTCAAATTTCAATTTGCTGCTGCCTTGACCCCCACTTTAATTCTCCACAACTCCCCTCTCACTTTCTTCTTCCCTTTTCCTTCATCTCTAAGCTACCTCCTCTTTTTTCTACTCTTTCAACACTTGTCACTATCTGATTCTTGGCTATGGTCCTATGGACTTTCACTGACAAACATTCGTCAACGGCTACTCCTCTCAACTTCACGTGATCTTCCTCCAAATCTAATTGTAAGTCTTTACTCGCTGTGTTTAGCTTTTCGACCTTTACTATCTCCACGGAGTTCTTGATTCCAGATTTTGATAGGAAATGGCGTTAAAGCGTGGATTATCGAGTACCGGTGTAGCTAGGAGCAGAGGCGGTAGTGCTGGATCTCGACTCCCCATCGCTCTTCTAGTTTTCTTCTGTGTTCTCACTCCCTTGATTTTCTTTGTCGGTCGTGGACTACATACTGGCGCTTCCGGTGGTTAGTTCTCATTACTAATTTCCTCCTCAATTTTCTCCATTTTAGCAATGCCGTTTTACAGATCTCACTTCAGTTTACGTGCTATTCGTCACTTTGATTTGTGTATGGATCATTTTTGGTTGGATTTTAAACTCTTACACTTTCCCTTTTCTTGACTCTGACTGGAAGAGAATTTAATTTTCTTCCAAATATCTATAGAATGCAGTAGAGTTTTTTTTTTTTACTTTATTGTCTCACTCTTGTTGGAATTGCATCTATGCAGTAATTTCAATATGAATGCTAGTTTTCTTTAGTACTGATCCCTTTTCTTTCTTCCCTTTTTCCTCCTAAGCAAGCGAAAATTTTAGTATTCATGGTATGTAACTATAGGGCTTGTTGGTGGGAAGTTATGAAAAGCGAAGTTAAAAACTTTTGCCAGTTCTAAGAAAGCATCAAAGGATATTTATGGATGCAATTCGATAGTTATTTATTTATTTTGAAAAGTAATTGAGGGTTTATTATCATGCGTTGAGTAACAAGGTTGAGGTGTCTGTTGAGGTTTTTTGTTTACAGATGCCTTAAGTCATCGAGTATGTGCCACTTAGGAATAAATATGGACAATTTTATAATGTCATGCTTGTGGATGGTCCTTTCCTTTTTCTTTTCAGAGATGCTTGTATATAGCCACATAGGAGGAAGGTAGTCATGTTTTAAGGTTGTTGGCCTTATGGCTAAATTGAGGGGTGTAAGCTAACAATGGTTTGAAATGTGCAGCAAGGCTGCTTTGGCAAAGTACAGATATATGAATGGCAAGGAAATGGATCAGAATAAATATCTGTTGAAAGGAGAAGTCATGGTTGTGAGATATTTATGTAATTACATTTTGTCAAGGTGTATGTGAACTTCAAGGAATTGCTTCATGCTGAATGGATTAACTCTTTATTTCCCAAGTAGGTTAGAAATCATAGAATTTAGAAATCATAGAATGTAGCGTGCATGGGAAGGTCACCTCTTGAGATCATCTTCTGTTGATCCAAGTGCAATCAGTTTGAGTATGTCCCTTTCACTTCACTGGAAACTTGTGATAAGTACCACTCTCATAATTAGTTAGCTTTTGATTGTCAAAAATAACTTCTATCTCATCCTTGTGGTTTGTGGTTTACGGTAAGGACTGAGAATATTATCATTCTATTAAATAGATTGGAAAGCATAATTCTATTGAATATAAGACTATTTTACTATTAGGAATCTACTATTATGGTTTCAATAACTTTAGTATTTCACTCTTATTAGTATTTATTTTTTCTGTTTATATTAGTAGTATTATTTCTTAATTCTATTAATACTGATATTTCTTTTTTCTTTGAAATAATTAATATTGATATTTCTTAATTGCATCTTATTTGTGAAGCTTTAGCTGGAAAACATTATAAATGTAATTTTCAGTTTGTACAATCAAATCCTTGAGTGGTGCTTAAGACTTCTTATATATGATATGTAAGAAACACTAGGTATAATATGCATGTTGTTGCCCCTAAATATCAAAGTATGCAAGTTAGCATTAGTTTGTCCTACATCATATTTACTAAGGAGCATGTGGGTAACTATTGAAGGCTCCTAAAGGTGAAGAAATGAGTGAAAGGAAACTAATGATGTTGTGCTAAGTTATGCCTGATCAGTTCACCTGTCTACTTTCCTTGAAAGAAAAACCTCTCTAGTTAGCTCATTCATAGGGGTAAGTTTTTGTTGGTTCAGTTAAAAAATTTATAAAGCCGAACAAACTGACTGAATCATCATAACTGATCTAATCATATGGATCAATGGAAACTGAATCGATCAAAAGAGAATTGGTTGGTTCCATTATTAACCAAATGACTTTTTTTTCAAAATTTATAACCCTATGACTCATGCTTGCAACGCTGAGAGCAGAAAGGCGAGAGGTCTGGTGGTGCATTTGTGCAGTGCATAGAGGCAAGTAGTCATGCATGCTTGGATGGAGGCAGAGAGCTGACAGGCGAGAGGTGAGGGATTTTTGTGCATGATCGACCTTGGGCTGAGGCAGCTCAGCCTTTGGCTGTGGGTAAGTGAATGGGTTTTTGAATTTGGAGGAGGGCGAAGGTGCATTAAAACCCTAAAGCGGTATATATATATATGTGATCAATAATTTTTTGAAAAAGAAAAACCTTAATTAGTTTTTTAGTCAGTTCAGTTCCTAAATTTGGGAACCAAAGCCAAACTGTTTAAGGATATGATTTTCTGGTTTTTAACTCGTTTAAATGGACAAACTGAACCAGTCTCCCTAGTAAGTTCAGTTCAACAGGTTTTTAAGGTTCCGGTTGGTTTTTGTTCGTGCTACTCGTTCCTACTGTCATGTTGAAAGAAGCTTGCCCTGTTTAAATATGACAGTAGAGTTCTTTGCATATTCCCGTAGCATTCGGCCCATCATCTAGACCACATTTACTGTCTCTCAATTTCAACTATCTTTTTCTTTGAACACTTTTTTTTCCAGTTTATCTTTCAACTTTTGCCTGTATTGCTTGTTTGGCTGAACTGCAGCTGCTCTGGCATTTGTTAATTGCTTTTCCAAAATTAATTTCTTAGACGGTTACTGACAAATGATGGAAACAAGGCCAAACTCATTTTGAGTTCAATCCCTGTCTTCCAGCCTGGGACAGAATCACAGTATCCCCTCGCCTCCCCTTTAAAAGGAAAAAACCTAGAAGTTAGTTGGCAGATCCGTCCGCTTCATTCATCTAGTCTCCCTATCATGCACAAGGATCACAACTTGAATTTCTGGAACAAATAGTATTCTGAAGAGTTCTGTTTAAGTTGGACTTGGGACACTGTCCTAAGCATACTGCTGCTGTGATATGAATCTCTAGAATCCTAACATATGTTTTTGTCATCTTTGACTTCCTAGATCAATTCTCTAACTTATGTTATTTGTGAGTGACACTATATTCTTTCTTCTCTTTTTCAGGGCAAAGCTTCAATATTCAAGTTTCTCTTGTTATTTTATTTGTTAAAAAACCTACATCCATGTTCTGGACTCATACATATAGAAATTTGGATAACTTGATAAATATTAAATTGTTTGATATATATATTATATATAAAACAACTTTTTGATAAAGTCATTCTATGTCCACATCACTCGCCCCTCCCCATGTCCTTTCGTTTTCCCATGGAAGCAGATTTGGAGGAAAAATACTTGTTCTAGAATTGCTTTTATTGCTCTGGAAGCTGCCAATGGGTGTATCCTGACTATTGACAATCTCACCAAAAAAGATAAGATTCTGGTGTTTGTTGTTTTCTGTTCAGGAATGCTGTGGAGATGCTGGACCATCTTTTATTAAGACGTGTCGCTTCATATGTTTTATGGTCTAGACCTTGGATCTCTTAAAAGTGCATTAGATCATGGCTTGTTTAGTGGCAAAAGAGTTGTCGGCGTGGTGAGGCATCATAGTGGATAAGAGAAGGAAGAAGCTTTGCTCTCTTATCTTTCTAGCTACTTTTGGTTTATTTGGAAGCAAAAGAACAGAAAAGCCTTTGAGGATGTTTTCTTTTGGATATATAGAGTTTAGCATTTTTGGTTCGACACCCCTTGTTTTTTTTCTTCAATGGTCATCCGCTTAATTTGGCGGAAGATTTATGAGACAACATAGTGCATGGACTTATTGACTAGCCCATAATTCTACCCATTTGCATGTTTCTTTTCTACCTGGTCAAGACCCTCTTGGTGCTCTTTGATCTCAAAGTATCTATGTGTATATGTCTATGTGTATGTGTTTCTATGTATATACACACACACACACGCATCATTGTGTTTCAAGATTTTAGATCTGTGTTTGATCATTGCTGGGGAATTATAGGAAGAAGGTCGACAGACATGTAGCTATAGATTTCAAGGTCCTGTGCTTGAACTGATCCTCATTTACTTGTGCTGTGGTGCAGATAGAAATTATACTCATACTGGGCTGAGCAAGCAGGTACCTTCTTGAGAGCTTTCTGTCTGTACTGTTTATGTTTTGGTTGCTTCCTAATTACGTGACTGGGGAAGAAATTTGGTTGTGTTGCAGAATCTAGATTGGAGAGAGAGGTTAGCTTTGCAGTTTGTTAAACCCCTTTTCTCAAAAGAGGCAAGTGCATTCTGGTGAAATCTTGGTTATATTTTTTTAAATGATAAATTTGAGTCATATTTATTTGTACCTGATACCTATTAAATAAACAAAATGTAGGTCCTTGATATCATAACTGTCAGCACTGCCAATTTGGGACCTTTAAGTCTTGATTCTTTTAGAAAAACAAATTTATCTGCGTCATGGAAAGTTGTTGGAGTAGAGCCTTCATTTGAGAGTAATATTGCCTCACAGGTAAGGATGACAAACTGCTTATGTTTTGTAAATTTGTCCACTGGATAATTTATTTCCTCTGATGGTTGCTGATCTAGCGGTGTCTTTGGATTGTTCATGCTTAAAGCCAAACCAAACAGTTCCAGATGTCAAACAAGGAACCTCGAAAGAAAAAGAAAATAATTCATTGCAAGGTAATGACTTGTATTACTTGATTAATCTTCATGTGGTTTTGATACTTTCTCAATCGCATGCTGACCTGGTTATTTAATGTAGATGATGGTCGTCAATTCACTGATACACCTGCGAAGATATTCCGAAGGGTAATTGCAATCTTGAATCAATCATACGTACTAATTATTTTTTGGCTTCTGTGCTTCCTTGGTTGAAGTTGGCTGAGCAAGCTGTAGTAGTTAAAATGAAACGATTCCATTTTTCTTCTCTATATGCCCTTTCTGGTGTAACAGTATCAGTTTCTTTAAAAAAGTGAACAATAATAAATCAGTGATTCAATTATGGCAATAGTTATATTGGTTTCTAAGTTGTTCTTTTTAATGAGATGCAGCAATTAAGAGATAAAAAACGTGAAAAACGAGCGGCTGAGTTGGTGCAACAAGATGATGAGGCGGTTGTAAAACTTGAAAATGCAGCGATTGAGCGCTCTAAATCAGTGGACTCTGCAGTCCTGGGCAAGTATAATATATGGAGAAAGGAAAATGAGAATGAAAACTCTGATTCAACAGTGCGCTTGATAAGGGATCAAATCATAATGGCAAAGGTTTATTTGAGCATTGCAAAGCTAAAGGACAAGCCGGAATTGCTTCAAGAACTACAGACTCGACTAAAAGAAAGTCAGCGTGCTGTAGGAGAGGCAACTGCGGATGCTGATCTACATCATAGGTATCTAGGGTTTCGTTGCCTGAGCGCACATGATTATGCAAATTTCATTCTGTTCTTGGTAGTGTGGTTCTGTCAGGCACTTTTAACTTTGTGTTGTGCTTGATTTTCGTGTTTAGTGCCCCTGAAAAGATCAAAGCTATGGGCCAAGTTCTGTCTAAAGCAAGGGCGCAATTGTATGACTGCAAATTGGTTACCGGGAAACTGAGGGCAATGCTTCAGACAGCAGATGAACAAGTTAGAAGCTTGAAAAAGCAGAGCACTTTCCTGTCTCAGTTAGCTGCCAAAACAATTCCTAATGCTATCCATTGCTTGTCTATGCGTTTGACCATAGATTACTATCTCCTCCCTCCAGAAAAGAGAAAGTTCCCTAGAAGTGAGAATTTGGAAAATCCTAATCTCCATCATTATGCCTTGTTCTCTGATAATGTATTGGCTGCATCGGTTGTTGTCAATTCAACCATCACCAATGCCAAGGTAATGTAATGATAGCTCTTAAAAGAGCTGGTCCACATGTTTTCCTTTATCTTCCTCAGCCGTCTGTTTTTGTATCATCTTCTGCTCCTTATGAATCCAATAATGCTAGAGTTAATTTGTTGTCTTCTATTAAATGTTCCCTTGGGAATTTGCAGGATCCTTCAAAGCATGTTTTCCATCTTGTGACCGATAGACTTAACTTTGGTGCGATGAACATGTGGTTTCTCTTGAATCCGCCTGGAAAGGCCACCATCCATGTGGAAAATGTGGATGAATTTAAGTGGCTCAACTCATCTTACTGCCCTGTTCTACGGCAACTCGAGTCTGTAGCAATGAAAGAGTATTATTTTAAGGCAGATCACCCAACCACTCTTTCATCTGGCTCTTCAAATCTGAAGTATCGGAACCCAAAGTATCTCTCTATGCTTAACCACTTAAGGTTCTACCTGCCACAGGTATATCCCTAAGTTGGATAAAATCCTGTTTCTTGATGATGACATTGTTGTTCAGAAAGATTTAACTCCATTATGGTCATTGGATCTCCATGGAAAAGTAAACGGTGCAGTGGAAACCTGTGGTGAAAGCTTTCATCGTTTTGACAAGTATCTAAACTTTTCAAATCCTCATATTTCAAGAAATTTTGATCCAAATGCTTGTGGATGGGCATATGGAATGAATATTTTTGATCTGAAGGAGTGGAAAAAGAAGGATATCACTGGCATATATCACAAGTGGCAAAACATGGTTAGTTTTGGCAACCTCCCTTCTGATTTCATGTTTTCTCTTATTCCTGCACCATAACTTCGTACATACAAACACGTTAATTGCCAAAATTGCTGAAGTGAGAGATAAGCAAAAATATTTCTCATTTTGCATGTGATTTTCTTATCCCATATCTTTTCTCATTCCATAATTGTACACACAAATAAAATCAACATGCTTACCTTACTGGAGTTAGCAATGCTATAATAGATAGCTTTAGCACTACTTTTGAGTCTAGACAGAGCACCTTCATTATTGGCTGAGTGTAGTTATAGCATGGATTTAGCTATGTCATCAGAAAGAGTTATTAGGGAAGCTTATTTTGTTAAATATGTCAACGCATCTAGAGTAGACTTACCCACGCATCCAGAGTAGAGTATTATTTCTAAAATAATGGGGGCTGCACACAAAAACTACCAAGCTTGCTTTATTGGTTAGTTTTTGGTTTTTCTGAAATATCAAAAATCTATTTTTTTTTTCAGCAATAAAAGAAATTATTATAAAATCATTCATAATGCATTACATGATAATTTAAAAAGAATTCTAAAAGTTAATACTTTTAGTGTGGTTAATGCATTAAGAAATATCAAATTTTTTTTTAAAAAATCATGCATTGAGTCGCCAAAATTGCAAGAATGAAATGGAATACGAAGATAAAGATAATTGGGTAAAAATAATTTTAGATTCCTATCTTATCCATAAATAATAAACTTATTTGGTGCTATTTATGAAAATCAATTACTAAACCCGATTATCTAACTGAATTAAAATTTTTGTTTGTTTTCTATAACTGGCGCCAAATTTGGACCTTTAGTACCGTGCATTAAATTAAAAGGAAAAAAATGCACATCTGATGATCTTTGGGTAGAGTAATTAGAGGATCCCATTCTTTTGCATTTTGGTAAACCTGCCCATTCCATTGATTGCATTTCTTCTTTGAAAAAGTGCACTTATATTCAAAATTAATTTTGTGTTTCCTTACTTTTATGCTGATGGCAGAATGAAGACAGAGTGCTCTGGAAGCTCGGAACACTGCCTCCAGGACTTATTACTTTCTATCGGTTAACGCACCCGCTTGAAAAGTCTTGGCATGTACTTGGGTTGGGTTATAATCCAAGCATTGATAAGAAGGATATTGAAAATGCAGCAGTCATCCATTATAATGGCAATATGAAACCATGGCTAGAATTGGCAATGACAAAATACCGGCCTTACTGGACAAAGTACATAAAGTATGACCATCCTTATCTCCGTAGCTGCAACTTAAGTGAATGAATGAGATAATAAAACTTTTAAGGTACAGTCAAAAGCTCTCTGTCTCTCTCTCTCTCTCTCTCTCCAGTGTGTGTGTGTGTGTGCGCGCTCGAGGAAGTGATGTATCTTAGCTTTCTCCGCTGCACTTCCATCTCTGTATCCCACATTGCTTATTATTCTTTCTAATTCGTTAAATTCGTTCTTTTGGTAACAACCCATTGGGACATGATAGCAAATCTGTAATAGTAAACTTCTGAAAAACATCAAATGATTTCTTTTTTAAGTCTGAGGAGACAGAAGGACAAAGTATGTGAATACCTCTTCACCTGACAGTTACTCATTTGATTTGAAGAAATTCTGCTGTTAACTGGTGTTACTATATTATGACTATTTGAGGAGAAATACATCTGTTGCCAATCTTGGAATGATTTTTTTTTTCCATGGAACTAGTTCAAACTAAATGGATATGATATGTTGTGAGGGAGTCGTTACCTTGAGATACTGAACCCAGCTCTCTCTTCAATTGATACTCCTGTGGACCATTAAATACTCCAAACCTTTTCTTCAACTTTTCCCACAGTTCTTGAGCCGAATTTACACAGAAAAATGCGTCGTGGAACGAGTCTAGAATCCACGATATCACCATCGCGTATCCTGTGAATCAATCTTTGTACTCCACAGAGTCTTCTGGCGACATGCTAATCTTTCCATTTATGAACCCCAGTTTCTGTTTGGCTGCCAAAACGATTTTTACAGACTTGCTCCATGTACGATGGTTCATTCCACTGAAGGGCGCTGTCACCAGAGAAATTCTGGGACTTCCGCTTGAAATAGTAGTTGTCAATACTCTTCCGGATGCATTATGAACACCACTATTCTAATACGTTGCTCACCTGAGCTCTGATACCATGAACAGAGGTGAGGTGAAAGATTTTCTTATTTGAACGAAAAGTTCTGGAACAAAGAAGAGGAGTTAATGCTTCTCTCTGTCTTTCCCCTTCTTATTTATACACGTGTGTTTATAATAGAATTACACAACATTAGTTAAACCTATTTTAGAGTTAACTAACTAACAATAGTTAATTATGGGCTGGTTGTGAATTAATCAAATTTACCAGATTAACATACTAACTAAAAAGCAGTTTGACTAAGTAATTCTCAACAGCACTAATTAATACAAACTATTATAGAAGAGCTGCTTGAAATGTTGTAGTGGGCAGTTGCTTTCTCAACCAATCACACGGGAACATTCACACAGGACTTTACAGTCATTGCAGGCATATTTAAAATTTTCAAAGCATCATTGGTAAGAATGGGTTGGGCCTCTGACTTTTCTCATTATTCACTTTTAACTTCTCTGCAGGAGTGTGTGGGGGGGGGGGGGATTAGTAACATGAGCTGATAGTAGAGTAGGAAGGCATTTAAATGTACGTAGAGCATTCTGTTTGGATCACCCACTTCTAACAAAAAGTGCAATAAACAGGAAGGAGTGCTAATCTCCACTTGTGCCTCGTATTATGCCGAATACACGGTTCATCATCGTTTTTGTTTTATTCCGAATTTCTCTTTTGCTCTCGTCTTTTCCGCAGATCTTCTATTTGTAGTTGCTTTTTGTGGCATTTGACCTTTGGATGTGATACAATTTGGTATCTGTGAAATAACTAGCTGTGCATATTCTAATTTCCTTCTCCTTCACAAAAATCTGTTGCTGCCCACTTAAAACGAACCTTTTTCTTTTTCTATCTCAACTCTTGATACAATGAATCAGAAATGGATCGCCCCTGTTTCCCATTATCTTTAAAATAAACCCTACAATCTGTACGGATGCAGTGAACATGATGTGATTGCATTGTATGCGAACAAGAGGGATTCGGTCAGTTTGCTTTGAGAATCTTGTCAAACCAATGTTGTTATACCCTTATTCTAATGTCAAATTAGTTTAGCGGTTTCATAGACCATGTACCCTGATGAATTCACTTTTGGGTAATACCGAAGGTAATAATTCCATGTGTTTTGTTTTTTTTTTTTTCTTGTCTTGTCATTTTTATAATAAAATAATGAGTTTTACGGTAGACTCTTGAATGACTGAAATATATTATTATTTGAAGTAGTTTTTGTTGATATATTGTTAAAATGGGAATGGAAGTTTGGAGTAGGCAAAATAGGTACGGTGATGATGAGGGCCTTGACTGCAATAGTTTGAAGTGGTGGGGAGGGTCAGAATTGAGCTGGTTCCAAAAGGTGATTTCAAGATTTGTCTACCACAATGCTGGTGTGATTGATGATTGATTTGCTCAGAATTATTCTGAATTTCTATACTAGTGCATTCCAAGAGAGTGGGGCTCAATGATTTTACACACACTTGTTTTCAAAATATATTCTAATACTTTTGAACAGTAATTCCAAGTACTTCTACTTGTAATCTACACTTTTTTTTTTTTTTTGTTTTGTTTTGTTGGTTTCGGGGTTAAGTGATATGTATTTGGAGGCTTGGGAATATAAATTACAAAAAAGAAAAGGTTTTGGAAGCCATTAGGCTCTTTAATTTATTCCCAAATTTCTTTCATTTTATATATATGATTCCCTCCAACACTAACATTAAATTACAGTTTCACCAAAATAATTTATTATAACTTCAAAAAAAAAAAATTACTATATACATTTTCTTTTATTTTTAATAAAAATTTATATAATAGTAATTTAATTTAAACTCATAATTTTTTATAAATAAAATAAATATATTACGTATTCAATTAAGTAGTAGTAGTTAATTTTTTATTTTTTATTTAAATTATTGAATATATAATATATATTATTTTGTTTGTTTTAATTTATGCTGTATAGTTTAGATGAATTGTTTACATAGCTCAACAACAATTATTTTTCGTGTAATTTAAATAGTTCTGTCATTGACCTTTTTATATTTGACATTTTAGTTCATAGATTTTTAAAAAATAATTAACCATTGATTTCTGAAGCTGGAGCAATGTGCTAGTGCTGCCACTAGTTTGATTTTGATGCCAAAGTCTTATATGCCAGCTTCCTTTATTTCTTGTATTTGCTAAAATACATACGGTATATACATATATATATATATATATATATATATATATATATATATGCACACACACACGCACACACACGCACAGCTATTATCAGACATGTAAGAACACAGATACTGAAAGCTTGAAAAACCCTACATTTATTCATTTTTTACAAGTCAAACATGAGCATGAGAAACATAAATGAGTCTGCTTCTTCTTCTTCTTCTTCTTCTCTTCTTTTTTTTTTTTTTTCTCTGAAAAATAGAATCTTTATTACAAAATAAAACACACATAAAAAGGAAAGATACGAGAGTCCAGAGTTCAAAAGATAGAGCCATTCTGCTTTGTGGGAAGTTTTTCTTCTTATTCTTCTTCTTCTTCTTCTTCTTCTTCTTCTTCTTCTTCTTCTTTGAGAAAACTTTCTCAAACGGTGGCATTCTTTTGGAGCCAATTGCTGAATGCATCAAGAGTTTTTATATCAGGTCGATAATATTTCTGCGTATAGTTAAGAAAAGTCTCCCAGTTAAAATCTGGATATACTCTTGGATTTTCAGCTGTAACCAAGCTCAGCGGTGGCGTCACCACCTTGTTTGCTCTTGGATTCGCGAAGAACCCAATAGATTTCCTCACACACCGACTGTTCACGACTGCTCTGTGTAAGCAACTCTTGTATATATCATTTGATAGAGCCTGCATTTACAGACATACATACATCAATATTATAATAATGAATTAAGAGGTATTTTTTTATAAAAAAAAATAGATAATGTTTTACCATGAAGGTGTCGCCAATATTTATGACAAAAGAATTTGGAATGGGGCGAACGTTCTGCCATTTTCCATCGTAGAGAACTTCAAGGCCGCCGATTTGGTCTGATGGAGGATTGTTATGGAGGTTGGATCACAATGAGGCCCAGTTCCTAGGGTTAAATTTGGCGTCTGGCATGGTGGGTAGTAATTCAATCTAACCAGAGACTCATGATCTGAATAAAATTCCTTCAAGAACTCCTTCCCAATGCCTAGACTCATCCCTAACACCTCCAATATCGCAACCAGCAGTTCCCCCATTTCGTCACAGTATTCTTGGTACACCTTTCTAATTTACTCACGAATCATAGTTAAGTCAAGAAATGAAGATAAATACCTTATAATATATTGTATATATATGTACGTACGTACGTACGTTTGTACGTTATTGAAAAATATGATCACTTTAAACGATTATGATTTGAGAAATATACCGATATTGATAATGTTGTAAAACTAGATATTGTTCGAAAAATTATTTTTTCAAATTCAAATATATATTCCATTTGGGAAAGAAAACATTAATTCTCCACCAATGCCAGCATATGTTATATCCATATGAAGCACCACATCGTAATATTGGATGCATGCATGATTATAGTAAAGGAGTTATTGAATTATTTCATCTGTCTTGTTTTTGTCGTGACAATAATTAATTCTATTTGTTTGCATCCTTGAATATTAATTCATTAATTAATTAGGTTGCTGTTTAAATATTTTAATTATATTATTATTTGTCCGTATTAACTGTTTCGTAAAATATTTTTATTTTTTATTAAAGAAAAAGATTTAGGTTAAAAACTAAATGGAGATCCTTTCTTCTTACCCGAATTCTGTGAAATCTTCACCGAGTGTATCTGCGATATACTTTTGGACAATGTTGGTTTTTTCAGGATCGCCGGAATATGTAAACGTAAAAGTCTCCTTCCATGGAAGATTACTGTTGAATCTACCAGTATAACTACTTGTATATCCAAGGCTTTCTCCCACCTTTCTCTGCGCCCTTTGCTTCTCCTTCAGCTTCATCCCAAAGAACAAGTCCATGTACTTCTCGGCTTTCGCCACAATCTCCCGCTTCACCCCATGGTTGACCACCACAAAGAATCCATGCTTCTTGCATGCTTCATTCAGAAGCTTCGAAGCTCTGGAAATGGTCTCCTCGTCTTCAGAAAAGAAGTCTGCGAGGTCGATCACAGGAACGTCGAGCTCCGGTGGGTCTGGGCTTGGCTGATCCTCGTCCGGCCATATGAATTCGGAGGGTATATTGGATTCTGATTGGATCACCGACGCGTCGAAAACTATTGAATAACCTTCCCCATATTTTGATCTCGTGTTGGTTTCTGCATGAACCGGAAGAATCTGAGCAGGAGACATTGTTTCTGTTGAAATATTTGGCGATGATGGTCAAGTCTTTGAGTTGAATTAAAAGAAGAGAGGTTAATGTATATATACACACACAGAGAAGGAGCTGCCCCTGTATATTATATATATAGAGAGAGATATATATGTATATTGATATGGGTTTAGTGGAGGCATATTTTTAAAATAGTATAAAATCAACATTTTTATGAGAATATACAAAAAATCTATAGATTAGATGAAATGTATTATCCAATCTGAATCCATAATCTCATTAAAAAAAGAAAAATTATCATAAGACATTTATGTGTTGATGATTTGGGTTTAATTTTGTATCTATCCTGTTTCAAGAATAAAGATAAGATTAATGAAATTAATTTTAAAAAATGTCCTTAAAATTATTTTTCAAGAAGATAATTTATATATATATGTATATAAATAAAATAATTGGCTTAAAAATGCTAATAATAGTAAAAAGTTATTGTGGTTAAACTTCATATATTTAAATAATTAAGTCTCAGTTGTTAACTAATAATAATATTAAGTAATATTTTAAGGAAAGTATATACAAAATCCACATATATATATATATATATATATATATATATATATATATAAGTTTGAATCATAAAAAATAGGATTTGGATATTGAATCTCACGAAAGAGTAAAAAAATAATAAGGTAATCTTATCTTTGATAATATGAGTTTGATTTTGAATGTATTCTATTTTAAGAGTAAAGATAAGACTAACTAAATTAATTTTAAAAAAATGTATTTAAAATTATTTTTCAAAAATATAAAATAATTGGCTTGAAAATACTATAATTAATTAAGGAAACGTACATCATAAAGTGCCAAAAGTGTTCATCGGGGAGGTCGAAGAACAAATTTATGGGAATCTAATTGATTTCACCCTTGCGTCATACCTGTCTCTAATTGTATATATATATATATATATATTTTTTTTTTTTTTTGCTCCATGTGTGTGTGTATATATATATAGACACACACACACACACACACACACACACACAGAGGAGTTGTAAACAAGTGCATATATAAACACACATGTACATACACAGTTGTTTGTAAACAAGTGCTTGAGTTAAGTGCATCTTTTGTTTTGTGTTTTGTCTTGAAATAAGACAAATTAGAACAATACATACAAGTAAGACAAGGCTGTACTGAAAAAATGTTTCTTGGATAACTCTAAATCAAAAAATTAATTCTGATTATAATTAGTCGGATTTTTTCTTCTTTAATTCAAAATATATATATATATATATCGATGCTCATAACAATTTTTTTTAATATTAAATTAATTTTAATATGTTTCTATTGAATAAATAAATTGTCTAAAATTAATTTATATTTTTATGTAGTTAATTTAAAGTAATTATTTTTTGTACTGATTTTTAATTAAAAAAAAAAAGAAGAAAGCTGGTTTTTTTATTTATATAAAAAAGGAGACTTTTAAGTTGTTGGGTTGACTTTGCGTGTGTGTATCCCACGATATAGCTCTTTATGTGTTCTAAACATTGTTTCTCAAAAGTCAAACCAACAACTTTGGTTCTCTCTTTTCAATCCCTTGTGTGTATTTACATATATATATATATGTATATATAGTCAGCCATTTGTTTTTGTAGTTGAATGATGGTGAACACCATTATTGCTTTCGTGCAGTATAAAATCTCATCTTGATGATGAACAGTACAAGGTATAAGCATACGTACATACATCTATAAAAACACACACGCATATATATATATATATATATAAAGCCTTGAAGGGAGAGAGCATAATTATAATTATCAACTTTGCATTAGACACAAATTAACGAAAGCTCCATGGACCAGGTCTCCAACACTTTTTTTTTTTTTTTCCCACGTAGAAGAAAGTAATTGGTCAAATAGGAAAAAATAAAACAACTCTAAAACTGGTGCGACCACATTATTATTATTATTATTATTATTATTATAATATAAGAAAACAGAAAGAGGTAATATATATATATATATATATATTTATATATAAATTTATAATTATGCTGATTCACAAGATAAAAACACAATGTTGGCGTCACTGATGAGCTATGGCAACAGGAGAGAGTAGTATGATGTGACATTGGTTGGCCATAACTACTTTAAAATATACAAATGCACTACGTAATGAAAGGGACAATGCCGACCACTAAAATATCATCCAGTATGTTTCAAAACCTCAAATACCTGAAAAACATTCGGCACCATATAACTAACTACATACGCATCACCATCTTTCCCCAAATCTCCCCACCCGGCATTGATTCCTTTAGAGGCCACCCTACTAGCAACCAAAATGTATTTGGTAAATTAGTGCATGTGATCTCCACTTCAAAATAAGACACGAAACCAAACCAAATTGAATTTCATTATAGCAAGCAAGCAAACAAAATATATATATTACATAACGACTAATAAGTTGGCTTTATTAATCAAAACGGGCTTGTTAAAATAAAAGCAAAGACACTTTTGACGGTCTTCCCATGGCCATGGACATGGTACCTCCCCCCCCCCCCCCAAGTTGTTGAGAATGGCATATAAAATAAGCAACAAACTAGAAATCTTAATTGGAGATATTCTACGATAAAACCCAGTAGCTTGTTATTTACCGAGGAGCCCATACAGCCCCAAGATAATTTAGAAGAAAGAAAAAAAAAACCCTTGAATACATATCGCAAAGCCCGCTCTGGGAACTCTACATACTCAATTATTTACTACATAATTACATCTGATATACCCAAAATTTAAGTACTATCTAACCGGGAATATAGGGTTCAAAAAGAGCTGCACAAGGATTAGGGTTATACTGCATAATTTCGGCAGCACGTTCAAACTCCTCCCTCAGAACTTTTATGCTGAATTTGTCTACCACTCGACCCAGGTCATGACTTATCTCAAATGGATCCTCTATGCATATTAAATGTCGATCATTTCCGATCCTCCTTGTCCAGTCCTTTTCTCGCTTGCTGAAAAAGTAAGCAATTTTTAGACATGTTTTTCATTTTTTAAAAAAAAAAAAAAAACTTTTAAGACCCCTATCACATAAGCCCGAAGCAAATACATGGAGATAGGTTACTACTAGAAGCAGCATCTTGTGAAGCAAACCAACTAGAACAAAGACCAATCACACATATCAAATATTTGATAAACTTATAAATTCTATTATTCATCAATCAATCTTACTAATGAACAAAATCCTCTATAGCATCCAAACAAGTATAAATCCTTCAATTATGCAAATGGAAACTCACCTGATTATGCTTCCTGTTCGGACAGATATGACTGAATTTGCATAATCATGACAATATGCCCAATAATTAAAAAAACCCCATACCAACTGAGCAATAGTTTCCTTATTATGGGATCCAAAATTTTGAAGCTTTTCAACTTGGTCGAAAAAAGCACATTCAACATCTTCTATGGTAACAGAGTAAGTTACCTCCATACCCTGAAATATAATTGGTATGCACAGATTAGAGAGACGAAGAAAAACACCTCAAATACCATCCGACTACACAACGACAGCAAACACTTTTCAGATGATATAATCCACATACACTGTACCCAAAAGAAACATGACAAAAGTACATTGGTCCACATCAAATACACAGCAATGCATTTTAGTCGCACATTAGACAAAATCAAAAATCATGTTTTCCTCGAGAGTTTATTGTTTTAGCTACACAATCAATATAGAATAGTACTCGAGTAAAAATGGAAAGATTAGTGAGCAAGCAAACCTTAGATGTACTTGAGCTAGAAAAGCTGAACCTGATCTGTAATCTATCACATGTTTTGGTCAATCAAAGCAGCATTCAGGGAGAACAGGAGAAAAAAATGAAAATTTAAATAAAATCGACAGGAATGGTACTGTTATTATCCACTATAGTAAAATTATTAAGGTTTGCAGATGGAAGCATGAGCAAGAAATATTATTTCTTACAGAGAGTTTGTTAGCTCCATACAGAATCTCCTGCAGACAGTTTTTTTTAATTTATCTGATCTACGGCAGACTGTCCAACTTTCTGTCCTTATTATTACAGTTACTCTATATTAGATGTATGAATTGGTTTAATCAATTACGGAAGTTACCTATCCTTTAGGGAGGTTTTTATCTTGTCCTAGAGAAGACAGGTACAGAAGGATCCAGTTACGGTTCCCTAGAGGTTGAAAGCTGTTAGAGATGAACCATATTTTCTCTGGTTTTTTCTTCCCTTAGAAACTTATCGCGAAGGTGACACGTTCCACATATATGTCATACAACAGAACCCAATTATATGTCTGTCAATTAGAACCTAACTGACAACCTAACTGCCTTCTTAGGGATAAAAAAATGCAACAACCAACCCCCCCCCCCCCCCAAAAAAAACAAAAAATCCGAACACATAGTTTCACTTATTCAAACAAACTTAACATAAGAACCCTCCTTCCATGACAGTTTCCCACACAACTACCACAACTACTTGGTAAAATATGCATCCTTCAAAATGCAGTTAATTCTTCCAAAATTTCCATGAGGACCTCTAAACTACTTGGTAAATTATGTAAACTTGGTTGACCAAGCAATTCCTGGTTCACCTGCAAGAGGACCTGTTAACAATATTCTCCTCCATGAAAATGTGCGTGTCACAATTAGGATAATGCAGCAGCAGCTGACCTACTAATTCCAATGATTCTTCAGCAGGAGATAAGGCATCCCAGCAAATAAGAGCTTCCTGATTGTCTCCATGAGTGCGAAAGTCTGACACTACTTTTGGAGTAAGAACTGGAAGACCCTGATCTAGTAAAGGCGATACAGGTAGAGCTGGTGGCTGTCCATGGAATTTCTTGACAGGAAACATGGAAGAAAGGATGCAGTTTAGAAAATGTAGAGTGTTCCAATCAATAGGCCACCGAGTAAATTTGTTGCATCACCGAGAAATCCCATAATACTAGGAGACATCTTGTATGAGCATTTTGACCCTAAAGAAATCTGGTGATAAGGTTGTAAAAAAAGGAGTACCAAATTCCCGGGATTAAATTGAGATCATGACAGAAAGAATCATAACTAGTCTTCATGACATTCTGAGCTTCTTGCAGTGAATCCTGTAAGTCAAGAATAATCTCATCTCACATTTACAACTCACATATGACATCCAATTGAGAGAAACCACCACAATAGGATAGTAATTCGGAAGGAGGCGGCCATAAACAACCTGAACAGAGTTGTATGGGTAGATGGTAGCCTGTATTATAAATGGACTCAGCCCGAGCTACCGAATCGATCAAATTCTTCGGTCTATCACTGGTTTTCTCATGTTACATCACCACAGTATGGTTGACAGACTTCAGTTTGACTATCATTTGAGGAACGATAGGCAGCAAGAAAATGAGAACTTGACACCACTCAAATGGGACAGTTCCTTTCCAAAGTTACGAGTGAAAGTCATATCCTGATCACTGACA